CACCCACAAACACCTCACACATGCAAACATGCACAGAAAGAAAGAAAAAAAATTAAAGCCGTCAACAGAATATTTAGAATAACTTTTATTTTGTGGTATTATATAAGGGAGGCATAGAACAGCTCGCTGCGGGGAACAGGGTGGGAGTGGAAAGTGCCTAGGGTGCCGCAGGTCGTGGAACACCACTGCAAGAAATTCACCAAGTCTCCCTTCCAGCAGATGCTGGTGAGAGCTAGAATGACCTCCCCTCTCCATGAGTTTAACTGGCCAGTGCCAGGATAGTCAGCCACGAACAGGATCTTAAAAAGGCTGGCGCCATCATGTGGGGACTTGGGAGGTAACAGCTGTGCATTTGGGAGAAGATGGTACTGCCATTCCCTGGGCACACTGCAGGGACCCTTGGGTGGGAATAGGTGGCAGTGAGCCTTGGCCATCTCTGGCCACAGTCTCATTAGCTGTCCTGTGGAGTCTGCCCCACTCCAGGTAGTGAGTGAAGGAAGGGGAGCCATTTGCGGCCACTGGAAGCTCAAGGACACATGGAACAGTGGTTGGCTACAGCTGGTGGCACGATGTCCATGTCCAACATGGGGAGGGGTCCATGGGTTGCTCCTAGCATCTGTTCTAGGAGGTAGGTGTTAGCAGGGTTGTGACCCTTGGTGGCAGAGCCCAGAGGAACCAGTGCGGACAGGCAATTTGGTGTGAGTGCTGGTGAAGAATTCCTTTGGTAGTACTTTTTTTTTTCTTCAAAAAAAGAAAATACTAAGATCAACTTTGGGGTCAGCATCTGAGGTAATAAGTTAAGAGTAAGCACCAAGCTGGGCATGGTGGTACATGCCTGTAACCCCAGCACTTGGGAGGCTGAGGGAGGAGGTTTGCCGCAAGTTGTAGGCCAGCCTGGATTACATAGTTCTAGGCCAGGCAGGGCTAAAAAGTAAGAAGACACTGTTTCAAAAATATCCCCCCCTAAACAAAAAACTTGCCCCAAACGAAAAACACAAACAAAAGCACCAAAGTGGTCTCCCCTTGTGGCCGCTGGCGGCAGGGCAGCTCACAGGTTCTTCATGCACACTTGGCAGCGGCTGATGTGTGTGCGGATGAGGCCAGCCTTGAGCGTGTCCGCCGATGGTGAGCCCTGGAAGCTCTGTTCAGGGATTGTGGTCAGCCAGAAACTGTACTTGTTGGCGAAGTAGTGGCAGGTCCCTCGGCCTCCGTTACACTCAATGAATGGCGTGGCACGGAAGTCCTCCAGACAGCTGCCTGGTGACACCAGCGATTGGCCACCACCTTCGTCCCCGGCTGCTGTGTGCTGTGCAGAGCAGGAGACAGAGTGTATTAGGAATCCACACCGGAAATGCCTGGGCAGGTTAATCCTCTGCTCTGTGTGTGTGTGTGTGTGTGTGTGTGTGTGTGTGTCTGTCTGTCTGTCTGTCTGTCTGTCTGTCTATCATCTATCCTATCTTGTGCTAGATAGCTTTAGTGTCAACTTGACACACCTGGATTGAGGGATTTTGAGACAGGAACTCACTGTGTTGGTCAGGTTGGTCTTGAAGTCCTGGGATTCAAGTGATCCTCCTGCCTCAACTTCCCAAGTAGCCGGGATTGAAAGCATTGTACCACCACGCCTAGCTTTTTGTTGTTGTTGTTGTTGCTTGTTATTTTGAGACAGGGTCTCACGTTGGCCAGAATGGTCTCAAATTCTCTATGTAGTCGAGGATGATGACCTTGAACTCCCGATTCTCTTGTCTCTACCCTCTGAGTGCTGGGCTTAAGGGTGTGGGTTACTATGCTTAGTTTATTCAGTGCTGGGGATGAGACCCAGAGTTTTGTGTATGCTAGGCAAGTCCTTTACCAACTGAGCCACATCCTCAGTCCCTGTTTGTGTTTATTAAGCATCTAATAGGAACATCCCTCATTGTCAGCAAAGACCCTGAGGAGTATGCTCAGGCATCAGGATGCACAGCAGGGCTGGGGGAACTGGTCTCAGGCAGAGAGCTGCCTGATGCTGGAGGAAGTGCTGCAGGTGTGGCCTGGCATAAACCACAGACCCCATGACTGATTATCTAGCGAAAGCTGCAACCAAGCAGTGGGTATAATTGGTAGGTATGGATGACTACGTTTTAGTTAAACAACAAAAAATCCTGACAAAGATCTACTCAATTATCCATTTAAAATGCCTAGCATAACACAAGTGGGGTGGTGCACACTTTAACTCCAGCACTCAGAAGGTAGAGGCACGCATATCTCTGTGAGTTCAAGGTCAGCCTGGTCTACATAGTGAATTCCAGGCCAGCCTACATAGTGAGACCCTGTCTAACAAATAAATAAATAAATAAATAAATAAAAAATAAAGGGTTTGGCAGAAGAAAAAAAATGAAAAGATTTACTTCTCTTTAAAAAAACTTTTTTATGTATATGAATATATTGTCTGCATGTATGAAAGTACACCTGTGTCATGCAATGCCCACAGAAGTCAGAAGAGGGCATTGGATCCCCTGAAATGGGAGTTAGAGATGGTTGTTAGCTGCCATGTGGGTGCTGAGAATCAAACCTGGGTCCTCTGCAAGAGCAGCCAGTGTTCTTAACCACCGAACCATCTCTCACGTCCTGCTTACTTTTCTCTTAACAAAGAAAAATAAGTTTGGTGTGGTAGCTTAGGTTTGTAATCCCAACATGTGGGAGGCTAAAGCAAGAGGATTGCCAACAGTTCCAGGCTAACCTGGGCTATAGAGTGAGACTATTTCAAACAACCAAAATCTAACAAACCCAAAATCTAAAAACAACAGCAAAGAAAAATCTAAAAACCCAGAACAAAGAGAATTAATGTGTGGGAGCATATCACACACAACCTGCCAGGTTGGGGTCTCGGTACAGCTGTAGCTGGTGTCTCAGGGTTCTCAACTGTGTATTTAAAAAAAATTATTTTTACTTTATGTGTGTCAGTGTAATTGCCTGCATGTGTTAAGTACACCCGTATTGTACAATGCCCTCGGAGGTCAGAATAGGGAGTCGGATCCCCTGGAACTGGAGTTAGGATGGTTGGTAGCTGCCATGTGGGTGCTGGGAATTGAACCTGGGTCTTCTGCAAGAGCGGTCAGTGCTCTTAACTGCTGAGCCAACTCTCCAGCCCCTCAACTGTGCGTGCTGTGTGAGGGTGTTCCAGATTCTAGAAAGACTCTGTACAAGGTTCTTAGGACTTTAGAAAGAATGCGTCTCTCTACTCGGCCTTCTGGTAAACTACAGAACTTCACTTTCGTCCTGTACTAAATAAAACAGACAAATTCTGCTGTGTGCAAAGACCTGATGGCAAATTAATGTTCACCTTGTGTGAGGGAAGTCCCAGGCCCGACAAACGGCTCAGTTAGCACAGAGCAAGCTGAATTCCGGTCCTCCACTTCTGTGCCAGGTGCCCTTGTGTGACACTGCCATGAAAGACTGCCCTGTACCTTCTTGTGCTTGTGGGTGCATAGGTGGAGACAGGAGGTCACCCTTAGGTCACTTCCTGAACTGCTCTCCACCATATTTGGCATGAGGGTTCTCAACTGAACATGGAGTTTTCTGTTTCAGTTTGTCTGGCTGGCAAGTGAGTCCCTGGGATCCTCCTGTCTCTGTTCCCTAGCACTGGGGATACAGGCATACTGTACCACATCCATCCAGCTTTTACATGGGTGCTGGGGACTCAAACTCACATCCTCATGCTTGTGTATCAGGTACTTTACCTTGATTATTCTTCCAAATGCATGTGTTCTTTCCTTTTTTCACTTAAAAAGTTTGATTGACTTATTTTTATTGTATGAGTGTTCTGCCTGTATGTATGGAAGTGTATCTATGTGTGCAATGTCCACAGAGGCCAGAAGAGGGCCATCAGATCCCCTGGAACTGGAGTTACAGATGGTTCTTTGCTGCCATGTGGGGGCTGGGAACTGAATCCAGGTCCTCTGCAAGAACAGCCAGTGCTCTTAACTGCTGAGCCATTTCTCCAGTCCCAGCATGTGTCCTTTCTGTGCCTCAGCTAGGGTTTGGATGGGGAGAGGAACTAGATTTCTACCTGGTTCCATGCTCTGACAGGGTGGAAAGGTGTCACGTACCATGAGGAAGGAGTATCCAATCCACAAGCTCCGCCACCCGGCTGGGCAGTGGGGTATAGAGACATCTTGGCTGTGGACGGCAATGGCCACGGCTGGGGCCTCACACACAGAACAGCGGCTGATGTAGGGCTTGATTTCTTCCTCTGCCACAGGCATCATGGGTAGTGGGGCAGTGGTGGAGAGCCAGTAGGACTTGTCATTGCGGCTGGCATAGTAGCAGACGTCTCCCGGGTTGCAGTACAGGAAAGGCATGGTGCTGAAGCGTGCCAGGCAGGAGCCCGCCAGCCCTGCAGAGGAGTGTGTGAGAGTACAGTCCACATGGCTTCAGGGAGCTCCTCAGCCCTGGACACCCCAGAGGATCTGCAGGGCCTACTGGTAAGGACTAAGCTAAAGCTCTTTATATAATTTTTTTGACAGGGTCTCTTTATGTAGCCCAGGCTAGTCTCAAACTTTCAAGCCTGTATCCTCTGTCTTCTGAGTGTTGGGATCATAGGCATGTCTTCAGGCTGGGTTCAATCCACTCCCCTCCCCCCTTTTTTGAGACAGTTTCCCTGTAGCCCCAGCTGGTCTGGCATTCACTATGTAGACCACGGCTAGCCTCCTCTCACAGAGATCCACTTGCCTCTGCCTCCCAAGTCCTGGGACTAAAGGCATGGTCATCATGCCCAGCTAATTTCCCCTTTATTGTGTAAACTTTGCTGGCATTTTGAAAGAGGCTTGCTCTTCCAAGAGCTCTCCCCCATGCCTGTGGACTATGCTGGGTGGCATTTTGGTGGACTAGGTTAAGGGAGGGGCGGTCTTCACAGTACTATCCTCCATAAGCCCCTGGTGGCACCTGAGAAGAGAGCTTACACTTTGAGTCTGCTGCCCCAGGCACGAGGCTGAACCCTGTCTCTGGCCAGAGGGACTTTCCAGCTCAGCAAGTGTTACTTTTCTCACCAGTTGTTTAAAGCTTACAGCCAAATGTGGCCTACCCTCAGCAGACAGGCAGGGCAGAAGTCTGCTCATGTAGACTTGTTCCCAGTGCTATTTTGGGCCCTATCCTTGTTTGCCTTTTCTCCTTTGTTTTGTAAAACATACTGTGGAAGCAGGGCCACATACAAAAGTACACATTGCTAGAGTCTGGTTGGTACTCCTAGGAGGGGCTGATCACCCCGGCGTCACTCAAACTGACACACTCCAGCTTCCTGCATGCCTTGGTCCTCTAAGGGATGTCAGGCAGAGACACCAGACACCCACCCACTTTCACTTTGTATGTTTTGCATTTTCTGAATTCTGGGAAGTCATGCTCATGCCCTTTAAAGGCTTTGTTGAACAAACCTAGATACACATTCATGTATGTCTGTTTTCCTGAGTGTCTGTGTGGAAGGACTGATTTAAGTCCATCCCCTTATGCCCTAACCCGGCTCCAGCTTATGTTCAGGGCTTAGGACAAAAAGCAAGATCATGTAGCAGCTGGGGCCTCCAGTGGAGAGGGAAGTGGCAGACTAGAGCCACCTGTGAGCCCTTGGAGCCCGATGCCAAGTTAAAAGGCAAGGCCCTGTGTTAGGGTCCTGATGCTGAGGGTATAAGACATCTGTCTCCATGGTCATTTCAGTCTCTCCTATGCCTAGAGAATGTGGTGGGTCCTGGGCCCCAGTTGAGAGCTCATCTCTGGACCTTACGACCTCACTGTGGCCACAGTCAAGGTGAGGAATGGAGTCGGGACTTGGAGGCAGTACCTACCTAGGTCCTGGTTGTGGGCTTTCTCCTGGCCCTCGAAGTACAGCAGGCTGTACCCGCTCCAGAGCTTGTTCATGCCCACGGGGCACATGGGCTCCTGGTCCGTCTGGCTGTGCTTCACCAGGAGGTAGCCGATGCTGACGCTACGGCCCGGCATCCCTGGTAGGCCTGGGCTCCCTGGACGGCCTGGCTCCCCTAGGGCATGAGAGAAAGTGGCCACCGTTCAGCTGTCTGTGGGCATTCAGGGCAGAGGACAGACCCTAGTCCATTTAGGAAACTCTATCTTCTTTCTCCCCAAAGACAGAAAGTGCTGGAAAACTCTGTAGCTACAGGAATACCCTCAGGGGTACTTTGGAGTGCAGGTATGGGTGAAGCGTGTCAGCACACCCAAGACTACCCTTGCAACTGGGCTTCCTCTTCCCAGGACTGACTGGCAATTCTCTGAAAGGTGGCTCATTGCCAGGCAAGCTGGGGGCAAGCTGGGATGTTCTGGATTAGAACATTCTTTAGTGAGAGTGAAACTGGCCCTCTATAACTGCTGCCAAGGGCTCTCTCTCATTCTGCCCTGGAGCCCAACAGAACCTTTAGTCTCTCTGGACCTTTAGTCTCTCCTGCCTGAACCTGCTGCCTGTTGTCCTCCCCGAGGTACATCTGCTACTCAACCTGCTTTCCCCTTCCCTATCTCAGTCTCCTGCCTGGTACTAAGTCTAATTTGTCCCTCCTTTGGGGTATGTGTTCCTGACGCCACCTGCAGCTGCCACTGCAGGCACTCCCTGGTGGGCACTGTCCCCTTTGACCAGATGACCTTAGCACATCTGCTCCTGCCATTGCTCAGACCAAGCTTAGGTTGATTAAAGCATCTTACTTTTTTGGGGTACAAACTGCTGTCATTTCTGGCTTATTCCTTCCTGCACATGTAGAATAATTTTAAAGAAATAAATAACAGCAGCCTTTACAGCACCCAGGACATGCTTGGGGTGAAGCTGCAGGAGGCCCTGAATTGGCACAGCAGGACTTGGCAGCCCTTGGGTCCCAGCCTTGCCTAGCACCCATCTGTCCCTCTCCTGCAGTGTTCAGAATGCCCCGCCCTCAGGAGAACTGAGGGAATCTTTCTGCCTTCCTGTCCCATCAGCTACCCATCACATACCTTCCTGACCAACAGGGCCCTGGAGTCCCATGGGCCCTTGGTCTCCCCGGAACCCTGGAACAGCAGACACACCGCCTCTGCCCTGGGGCCCAGCCTTGCCTGGAGCCCCACGGAAACCTGTGAGACATCAAATGAGTGAGTGTGACCATGTTTGGTGCCATGGTGTCCAGCCAAAGAGGGCAAAACTAGAAACAGGGCAGGGGGACAGAAGCCTTTCCCTGTGCCTACAAGGGCCCAGCTCAGAGCCTACCTGGATCTCCGGGAGGGCCCTGAGGTCCCATCTCTCCCAGTGTGCCTGGAAGGCCTCTCCTGCCCTGGGGGCCCATGGGCCCTGGCTGGATGGCAATCCTCTGGGGGATTCCTGGGATGCCTGGAGAGCCCATGGAGCCAGGAGCACCTGCAAGGGAAAGGGAGGGCATGAGTGCCAGGAACAGGGATCCACCTTGCCTTTCCACTCTGACTGCATTGTCTTCCTGCTGAAGCCTGTTCTGAAGGCTCACAGAGACTCATCTAGAATGTCACTGCACTAGCCACTTACACTCAACTTTGACCAAGGCTCTGGGAGCATCGGCAGCCAGTTCAGCTTTTCTCTCTGTTCTTTAAGAGAGTGGGGCAGGTGCCTCAGAGGGGCAGATCTGAGTTGTCACCCCATAGGCTCTGCAGATGCCACTCACCTGGAAATCCCTGGTCTCCTTTGGGTCCCTTGGGGCCTCGGTCACCCACAGCTCCAGAAGGCCCTGTGTTGCCCATGAATCCTTGCTCACCCTTGGGCCCTGCAGTGAAGACAGGATGGTGAGGAACGACACATGGGGTGGGGGTGGGGGGGCGGAATGCTCCAGTCCCCTGCCCACAATGCTGGCCGCTTCTTGGCACTGTCACCTTTTACTCCTGGGAGACCAAACACGCCAGGCCGGCCCTGAGGCCCTGGGTCTCCAACCCATCCTTTGATTCCAGGGGTTCCTGAAGCTCCCGGGTTCCCCTCATCTCCTTTGCTTCCAGGAAGTGCAGCTGGTCCAGGTGGTCCTGGTGGGCCTCGGTAGCCTAAGGGCACAAGTCACAGAGATGAGGGCTTACTTATGGGCTGAGGAACTCTACCATGTCTATAAGGGACTCAGACTTGCTATGACAGCACCAACTCCAGTCACTGCCCTGGAAACCAGACTCTGGCCTATTGGTAACAATAACAACTGCATCTCTTTCATTAAAAAATTATGATAAAGTATATATACAATTTACCATATTAACTGCTTTTAGATGTGTAGTTCAGTGCCATTAAGCACATCCCACTGTTGTGCATCACACCCCATTCCCAGAGTCACTCACCATCCTGAATGGAAATTGTCCTCACTGAACACCAACTCCCCACCCTCTCTCTGCCCCAGGAACCTACTCTCTACTTTCTGCCTCTGCAGATTTACCTCCTCCAGGGACCCCACCTCTATTTTCTGCCTCTGTGGATTTGATCACTCCAGGACCTTGTGTGAGTAAAATCAATGATATTTGTCCTTTTGTGACTAGGGAAACTCTGCCAAGCATACCACCCTCAAGCTTCATCCCTGTCTTCATGTGTGTTGGAAATTTATCCTTTGAAAGGTTGAGTATTATACCATAATGCATGAATTGCATTTTGGTCATCTTTTATCTGTCAGTGGACACTTGCTCTTGGCTATTATGAATACTATCTCTAGGAACACCAGTGTTCAAATAATTGTTAGACAATGACTTTGTTTTTGGTTTTCTTTTGTTTTTTTTGAGGTAGGGTCTCAGTGTGTCTCAGGTGGGCCTGAATTTGCTGGTAGCCTAGATTTTCCTTCCTCCCCCACCTGCTGGGATTATAGGCATACACCATCATACCCAGCTCCATCTCCTTTTAATAGCCAGCTAGTACGTGGGACATGGATGGAATGCAAATTAAATTTAAGATCCAAGCACTAAATGTTGTGAAAAAAGAAACTTTGGACATTTTTGAGGCTACTGAAGTTTACATACTTGACTCCAAGCAGATACAGGGCATGTCTTGTCATGTGGTGTTATGGGGGACCCTGTGGTATAGGTGATGGAACTATTACAGGATGACTGATACTGTCCCCGTTCCTTTGCCCATCTGGACAGGTATGGAATGAAACTGCTCCCCCAGGAAATGTTAGCCACACAGTATCTGTCCCAGAGATTTCAACCCACAGGTATACATGTCCCACTTACCTTCCAAGCCAAATATCCCTGGTGACCCTACATCACCAGGTGACCCAGAGATGTTGGAAGGTGGGGAGACACCTGGGAAGCCCTGCAGTCCTGGGCTTCCAGCTGGACCACGTTCCCCTTAGGAGGAAAACAGAAGTTAGCTTTAATGTCAGCTGCCTACTTTCAAGCCTTCTGCTTTTCTCTTGTGCTGTCCTTTCTGGAAGAACAGTGTCACGGAGGGTCAGACAGGTGTCTCCACCAGCTCTTTCTGCCAGACACCAGCCATGATGAGGCCTGACGGACCACTAGGGGGCACTGTCCTCATGGTCTTCGCCCTGCTCAGGGCCCGCAGGAGCAAGCTCAGGGGGGCCTCAAGCGCAGACAAAAACTCAGATAATTGTCACACGAAAGCAATTCTGTCAGCCCAGAACCTGTGCTGCAGGGTCCGTGACTACTGCTAATTCCCACTTTACCAACTTGGACAGCAGGGGCAAGGAGGAGGAAGAACTTGTCCCTCAGTGTTTGGGATGGGGTGGACAAGGAGCTAAAGTGAAGGGTAAAATAAGCTGAACCACAGAATGCAGACCAGCCAAGAGCTTGTGCCCTGTGGGTTCTGGGCAAAGGACCGCTGACACGCAACCTCGATGGGCTCTGCTCATGGAGGCAGTGAGGCTTTCCTGGGAATACATGGCCTTACCTGGAGCTCCCTGCTCCCCTTTCTGTCCTGGGACTCCCACAGGACCTGGAAGTATGTTGGCCTCTCCTCGGTCACCCCTGTCTCCAGTGGGGCCTGGGAACCCTGGGTCTCCAGGGAGGTCAGCACCTGTGGTAGAATTACAGCAGGGGGTTGGCACCAACTCCATTCACATGAAGGAAGTAGATGGTCCTCAGTGGAATGACATCACAGTGTGACTTGGAAGTAAAGAAACAGAGGCAACCACTACAATGTTCCCCAGCCCTGACCTCAGAGTTACAGATTTGAGACTCAGAAGGGATGTCATGGACAATAAGGGAACCCTCACTCTATGGATCAGAAAACTGAGGCCTTCAGAGGGTCCAAGTTCATGGTCTCAAGCCTCCTGGTTCTGGTGGCTGCTCCCATGTTCTGCCTTTATCCAGTTTTTGGAAATTTGATCCTATTTAAAATATTTCTTGTTTATATGGCAGGTGCTCAAAGCAAAGGAAACAGCAGTATAACCTCACCATAACTGCAAAAGGTTGACCATGACTGCCAGAGCCTCACCGTGACTACTGTAGCCATAACTGTATCTGTCTCTCTGACCTGCTTATATATCATGTAGAGTAACTGGGTAGAGACTGGAGACATCCCTAGAGGCTTCTGGCTACCCCCAACCCCTGTAAACCCCACAGCTGTAAAGCTGTATTCAGAGTGTTCTGCGACTGCAGTTAGCCTCTGACACACCTGCCCCTGTATACCCATAGGGCTTAGAGAGAACATCTGGTCTAGCCTCACCATAATTGCTAAAGCCTCACCATGGCTGCCGTAGCCTCACCATGGCTGCCTTAGCCTCGCCATGACTGTCCTTATCTGCCCATTGAAAGTGGATCTAAGTGTTAATTGGAGCACTGAGTGTGTAAAGTTTACTTGTAATAGATACACAGGAAAATATCCCTGTGAATGGATGAATATTTGGTTAGGTAAATATCTACTGAATATGTTCAGATAGCAGTTATGAGATGGTGGATATTGTTCTTCTTATTTAAACTTATTTAAAATAATTTCCCCCACTGAACAGAATTATGTTTATAAATGGCGAAGAAGACAATAGACAGGATGTCAGTCTCAGGCCAGAGGCCTGGTCTCCAATACTGTGATGGGGGCTGGAGTGCCACTAGGTACCTGGGGATCCGGGGAAACCTTTGGTGCCTGGCAGGCCATGTAATCCGCTGATGCCTCGAATTCCTGGAAAACCTGTGGAAAGCCAGTTCATTGTTATTCACGCCAAGCAGGAAAGCAGAGATCTCTTGCTGGGAGTGGCCACAGGACAATTCTAAGATGCCTTCCTGCTTTCTTTTGTTGCCAACCCCCATCAGTAGAGTGCCTATCTATGAGCTGCACAGCTCTTGTTCTGACATATAAACTGTCACTCTTCGAGGACTCTGAAGTCCATGCTTAAACACTGTTTTCAAACCTTTTGGAACTCTAAGAGCTGGAAAGGGACAAAAAACAAGGGGGCTCCCCAATGCTGTCAAGGCACATATTTGGTTTATAAAAGCTGTGCTTTGACCATAGACCAATGTAATTTCTTACTTTATTTTAAATATGCATCATTATATTTACAGACAAGTGTACCTTTTACCCCTCATCAAAGAAGCTTCTTTCTGCAACAGATGGACACTATTACAGAGTTCCAGAACTGGCCAAAGCAGAGAATAAATGTCTGTGAGACACTCAACCCTAAGTGACACATCTTCTATGCAATCTCTACACATAAGATAAATGTAATCTCTCAACTCTCACCAGAGAAGTTTCCTTATGCAAGTCAGATGGTGATTAACACAGAGACCCACAATTGGTCAATGTGCAGAGAATAAGAGGCTGCAGAGTATTTATCCCTGAATAGGACCCTATATCAAACCTCTGCCACCCAAGGCTCAGGGATCATTTCAGAAGAGGAGGCAGAAGGATTGTAAGAGCCAGAGAGGGTGAATGACCATAAGGAAACAGAGTCTTCCAGACAGCTGGTCATTTACTTATATGAACTCACAGCAATGGTGACAGCATGCACAAGTCTTATGCAAGCTCAAGCCAGGCAAAAATCTCAGCATAGACATGGGAAGTGGGTAAGAAATCCCAACCCAACCTAAGGAAGTTTTGGCAATTGATGGCTGCTGGGAGGGGGAGAGACAGTATCTTACAGGGATGGGACTCTTGGTGGGTCCAGAGATGGACCTACAGTGAAGGACATTTGGGGACACAAATCAAACTCTATAGGCATTATCATATGTATAAGAGAGTACATTAAAGTGGGTAGAGGGTAATAGGGGGAGGTGCAGATAGAGGAACTGATCTAAATATCACCAAACTATATTGTATGAAAATCGCAAAAACTCAATGAAAAAAAAAAAAAAAAAGCTATGCTTGGGTCAGTGAGATGGCTCAGTAGATATGAGTACTTGCCCCCAAGTCTGACAACCTGAGTTCGATCCCCAGGACCTACCCTGGGTGGAAGGAGAGAACTGACTCTCCCTTATGTGGGCCATGGCACCCCTCCATCACTAAAGAAATGTAATAAAAGAAATGAAGTCATGCTTGGAGCCGAGGGCCTAGTGTTATTTCTGTTCTCTCTGGATTTCTGAGGCTAAGCATTTCTAAAGAAAGACACAGCACACAGGCTGTGTCCATCTCAGTAGGGAGTACATGTGGCCTGTGACCCCCTTGGGACTGAGTGTGGCAATGGGAGCCCATGGTCTTGTAACCCTCCACAACCCATCTGGGCATGTGACCAACCAACAACAGGACAACAAGATGTGGGTATACTTGTGTCTGTCCCTCTGGTCTGCTTGTGTATTGTGTAGAGTAACTAAGTAGAGGCTGGAGGCCTCCCTGGAGGTTTCTGGTTACCTCTCTGTAACCTCTTCCCCTCTTTGCAAAAGAGGTATCTGGCGTTTTTCCCCCAGTAGACCACACAGCTGTAAACATGTACTCAGAGTGTTCTGTGATTTCAGTTAGCCTCTGACATACCTGCCCCTGTATACCCATAGGACTTAGAGAGAACAGCTGATCTGGCTGGCAAATTGGCCTTGAGTGATGGTGGTCATTAGCCTCTCCTCCAGGAAAGGAATCCCTTACCTGGTAAGCCTGGTGCTCCTGGCCAGCCATAATCTCCCTTGTCACCAGGCACTCCAATCCGTCCTGGCTCTCCCTGTGGCCCCTGCAGTCCTGTGAGGCCTGGGAAGCCTGTGGAGAAATAAGCAGGCAAGTCTGAATGTGTAGTGGACCTACAGAGAGGGTAGACCCCTGGGTACCTCCTATGAGGTCCTGCCTGGCTGGCTTTGTGCATTCCTCGTTACTGAGCCCAGATGGCATCTCTATGTGTTCCTGGTCCCCAGACAGAGCCAGGTAAGGGGGCAGCATGCATGAACAAGTCTCCTGGTGAGTGTGATTACAGTAAAGGAGGAGGAAATGGCAAAGGTGGCCATTTCTTGGAGGGCCACAGACAGGCCTGGGCAGACTATGGCTGCAGATCTTACCTGTCTGTCCTTTAAGTCCAGGAGAGCCCTGGCCTCCAGCCATGCCTGTTATCCCAGGAAAGCCAACTTCACCCTCAGCTCCTTTCTCTCCAAAGAATCCCTTGAGACCTGAAATCACAGATTTGCTGTTTGGAGCAAGTGTGCTTTCAGTGAACAAGTGTGACTGCACCCCTGCCTCCTATGCACAGGGCTGCTTGTGGCTACAGTCACAGCCAGAAGGTGATAGAACAGCCTTTGCTGCCTCCAAACTTGTTGCTTGACCTCTCTGGCCCAGGAACAAAACTGGGAAGGTGAGGTACAGGACAAGCTGAATAGAGACACCCAAGTTTATCTTCAGACTTTATAAACAATTCAGACTCTTTCTTACAGATTGGACTTGAAGACCCCAGCCATTCACTACAGTCTCTCATGGCTTTAGCAAACACTGATGTACTTGGCAAGGCAAGCCCAGAGACGAGGCTCAGGGCTGCAGGTGACTATGCAGAAACAAAATAATTTGCATACCTGGTGTTCCAGTGATGCCCCGTTCCCCCTTCAGGCCTGGGCTTCCTGGTAAGTCTATAGTGTCCCCAATATCACCTGTGACACACAGAAAAGAACAGGCTTTGCTGCTGGGAGGTGATTAGCTTTGCACCATCTGCTGTTCAGGGTCCTTAAGGGGGACAGTTTATCTCTGAGTGCCCAAGAGCACCTGTGGGTTGATGGCACATCACGTGTTCAGCGGTACCCACCAAGTGATGGCATCTCACATGCCCAGGGGCACCCACAGGTCTGACAGCACCTCAGGTACCCAACAGCACCGAGGGGCTGATGGTACCTCACATACCCAGGGGCTGAACTTTGGACTCCTTACTTCCTCCATCTCAGTGACACTCACCAAAGTCCCCAGTAGGGCCAGTCTCGCCATAAAGTCCTGCTCTCCCAGGAGTACCCTTTTCACCCTAGGGCAAAGTCAAACAGAAACCACCTTAGAAGGCAGATGTTCTCTGCTTCATCGACCCAAAGTCCGCGACAGGGGCAGTGGTGCTGGTGGATGCTCAGGTGTCACTGATGTGGACACAGGCAGCTTTCCCTTAAGCTGGTTCATGTCCTTGGAGCTGCCTCCAAACTTGGTACTTGAGCTCTCTGACCCCAGAACAAAGCCAGGAAGGGGAGCTACAGGACAAGCTTAGTAGAGATACCCACTCACCCGACTTCCTGTGAATCCTGGAAAACCAATAATTCCAGGAGGACCAGATACCCCAGGGAATCCTGGCAAGCCTGGTACACCAGGGACCCCAATGTCTCCCTTCACTCCTTTGATGTAGCCAGGTCTCCCAGGCAGCCCTGGGATTCCAGCCAGCCCGGGGACCCCAGGCATTCCTTGAATACCTGCAAGAAATGCCCAGTGAGTAAGGCCTATTGAGGAGGCAGGACTACCCTCCCCAGGTCTTTGACTATAGTCTGGGTATGTCTTTCTGTGTCCAGCACTGCAAACTCCAACACAGGAAAGGGGCATGGCTCTGAACAGCCTTCAACCCGACTGTGGAGATGCTGGGGTACGGGGAGATGCAAAGCACAAGGTAAGCCTGGCAGAGTGTGGGCTGCCCTGGAGTCAAGGCAGGGTGGGTGGGGCAGGGCCTGGGCATAGGGAGCTGAAATTGGCCTGGGTGATGTCTCTCTCACCTTTCAAACCCAAGTAACCTTTCAGGCCCATTGGCCCTTCATCTCCTTTTTCCCCTTTAATGTCCTTCATCCCTGGCAGGATGACAGGAGGCGGTCCTGGGGGACCGGGGTCTCCTCGGCTGCCTGGAAGGGAACAGAATGCTGTCATTTTCTGAGACCCCAGAACCAGAGGCAGAGATGACATTCCACCTCTGCCTCCTCCAAAGTATGAATCCTTAGGGTCCCCAACTATGTCCTGCCAACCAGGCAGTCTCTGAGAGACCTGGGGGACATGTCTGTATGGTTCTAAACGCTGTCACAGGGCCCAGAACCCCATGGTACAGGAAGGACCTGTTCTTTTCTTCAGTGCCCAACAAGGGAACAGAGGGGCTGACTGGAGCCAGTGGGCACCAGGCAAGATCTTAGGGGAGCAGCACTTTGCATTCTGAGAGCCACCAGATGGCAACACCCAGGATCACTTGAGGAAGGAGGTGGGCTCAGGTCTCCAGTAAGCACTGAATGGGGGCCTCAGGACCAAGAGCCAGCATAGCTGGGAAGTTGACAGGAATACCTAGGTGGGATGTGGCAGGGTGATGCGGCAGGAAATGGGGAGTTTGTAAGAAGTGGATGGATGGAGAAGGAGGGGCTCAGGGGCCATGCTGTTAGAGGAGGGCTCTGAGGAGCTTCCAGGGTCTTCCTTGGAGGAATGGTGGCTGGTCGGTGAAATTTAACTGAGTGAAAAGATATTGTTCATTAAACATTTATCAAGTACTGAGTGCTAGGTTGGCTGGTGAGGAGATAAAACACAATAAAATGGTCCTGTTCTCAGAGCTCTGGTTGTCCAGCAGAGGGACAGGCATGCCAGAAGAGCCACGGCCCTGGGCAGCTACAGGAGCCACAGAAAGCTGAGGGAAGACTGGGTGGAGCCCAGGGCAATCGCATTTCTAATTTAATTTAATTTTAATTTTTAGCCCTTTGTTTTGTTTTGTTTTGGCACAGGTCTGCTGTTCCTGCTCCTTGGGAGGTGGAGGTGGGAGGAGAATGGCTTGAAACTAGGAGTTCAAGACCAGTCTGGGCAACATAGTGAGATTCTGTCTCAAGAGAACAAAACAAAACACCAAAACCAATCAACCAACCAACCAACCAACCAACCAACCAACCAACCAACCAACCTAGTTCTTGAGAAGTAATAGTTTTTTTTTTTTTTTTAAATCTCTCCCTCTACCTGCAGTTCTGGGGACTGAACCCTGTGCTTTACGCATGGTTGGCAAGTACATTACCACTCACTACAGCCCTAACCCCGACCCCTAAGGTTTTAGGTTGTGTTTTGAGACAAGGTATTGCTATGTAGCCTTGCCTGACCTGGAACTCACTATGTAGACCAGGCTGATCTCAAACTCAGAAAGATCTGCCTTATTCTGTTTCCTACGGCTTTTACAGGCACTAGACTCCATTTCTGGTCCCTCCCTCCCTCCCTCCCTCCCTTCTTATCTTTGTTGATATAAAGTCTATATACTACACAACTCAATGGCCTTAAAGAGAAGAGTTCGGTGGTTTTTAGGGTACTCAATTGTGCAGCCATTACCACATCTAACCTTGGAACATTTTATCAGAGAAAACAAAGCCCTATGGTTTTAGTGGCAATTTTGGTTCTTAACACTGTCATTGATTTTGTTCTGGAGACTTCCTTTTGGATACAGCTGCCCTGATCCATGTGTACAGGAGGAGACCTTTTAGCTGTGGACATCTGATTGGCTTTTTCAGTTTCCATCTCTTCAGTCTCTGAGGCCTCAGAGATCCCTTTGCAGAAACATGTGCTGCCAGGAAGGTGAGCTGCTGTTCCATGAGGAGGATCTTATTGTTTTATTTCATTTATTTATTCAGTGCTCCTTGAAATGGAAGCCAGACCCTTATGTATGCTGGTCACATGCTTTGCCACTGAGCTACTACTTCTGCAGCCTCTTCTTATGTTTTCTTCTTCTTCTTTTTTTAATTAGATGAACTCATTTATTTGACATGTTAAGTTATGCAAAGAAAAATATATGCAACTGCATAAAAAGAATCACATTCTCATTTACTAAACACATAGCAGTGGTCAAGAATCATGAATTGTAGCATCGACCCCAGACTTAATGCAAAACACCCTGTTACAGAAAAGTTTCAAGCTTCTAACTTGACTGAATCCAGTACTGAACGGGCTTCTTTATACTCTTCAGCTTCTTCCAAGTCTTTTTCACTTTCTAATATCTGCTGCAGATAAGTATATGCAGCGTCTAAACTGTGCTGGCAATCTGGGATCACCATCCGGGATTCTTGCAGGATCTCTGCCTGCTTTTTAATGGCATAGTTCTCACCATCTTCAGCTTTCATTTTTTCAATGCTTTCTTCTTGTTGCTTTGCTTCTTTTTCATACATCACTTTTTCTTTGACCAGTCGCTTCACCACGCCTGTCTTGATCTTGATCTGCCTCACATGAGGATCGGCCATGGTCTCTAGAGCGCCCGGGGAAGGAGGGGTGGAGGGCCGGAGGAACAGTGTGGACTGTTTTTTTCTTCCTAATTTTTATTTTTGAGATAGGGTCTCACTAAGTTCTCTAGGTTGGCCTTCAACTCACTCTTTAGCCAATAAGACTTGAACTTGCAATCCCCTGCTTCTGTGTCCTAAGCAGAAACGATTACAGGCAACACCACCATGCCTGGATCATTTACTTGTGAATTAGCATATGTTAACTAATAGAATCATAGGCATGAGCATGACATTTTCATCCATGCCTATGAACACACTGCTCATGGCTACCTATCCCCTCTCCTCCCTCCTGCTGGTCCCTTTTCTCACTCCTCTTCTGCTTTCATGCCATATACGTACCTAAGTCTAGATGCTACATTTGGGAGAAAACATGTAATACTTCTCAGTCCTGCTTACTTCACTTACCACAATGACCTCAGATCTTGAGTGAGGCATACCTTTAACACCTGGCTCGCCAGCCAGGCCCTTTAGACCAGGTATTCCGAAGAATCCAGCCTCTCCTTTAGTTCCTGGGAGCCCAGGTCTTCCCTTGAGTCCCAACATGCCCTGGAAGCCATCCATTCCAGGTGAGCCTCGTTCCCCTATGGAGGAAAAGAGAGAAGGAGGTTAGCAGGGACCAAGAGCGTGGGACACTTTAGCCTCCTGTATCCGTACCGCTGTGGCTGTGTCATTCATGCAAGAAGATGCTAAGATCCTTCACCTGAACTGGAATTTTGGGAGCACTGCTTTCTAAGAACACTATCTATTGAATAATATATAGAGAGCAAGGCAAGGGCCCGGGTGTCTTCAGATGGGATCCTAGGGACAAGACAGGCAGGCCCATGGAAATCAGGTAGAAGACAGTGTAAAGGTGGCACTGGTGGAGTTGCCATCAGGAGTTAGACTGGGCCCTAAAGATGAAAGTGATGCCATTTCTGTTCACTTGGACAGAAGCCAAGGGCTGTGGGAAGGTAACCAAGGTACCTCCAGCAACATCCATGGTGCAAAGGCTCATTCACAATCATCTCAGTGTATGTGAAGACTGTGTCCCCAGTGTCCAGGTGTTCAATTAAAACACCATCAGTCCAGAGTCAGAACCCAGCCTCAACATGGGTCTGTCCAGAACCTTCTCTGTGTCAATGATATTCCTAGGTGAGAATGGCCTTTCTCCTTATGGTGACAAACTGGCATTCTGCAGGAGGTCTAAGTGGCATCAGCCTGTCTCCCAGGGTCTTGTGGTCACAGGCCTGCAGCTGTGTGAGGTCAGCTTCCTTTCAGCTGAGGGGGTCTCTGGGACAGCTGCTTGAGTCAGTGCGACACATCTTATAGCCTGGTAAGGGGAGTCCCTCTCTGACCCCACATTTACCTTTTTGCCCAGGGATGCCAGGCATCCCTGCCATCCCTTTAAATCCGGGGCTTCCAGGATGACCGCGCTCGCCTGACACACCAGCATCACCTTTGTCTCCAGACAGACCTTTCATGCCCACAGGGCCAGGAACACCAGTGTCACCAGGTTCTCCCCTGTCCCCAGGCAGACCTGTCAGAGAGAGAAGCAAAATTAAAGGGTATAGGGAAAACTTCCCTGGAGGGAAACGGAAAAATGTTCTGACAGAGATAAGCTTTTAAGAGTGGCCTGACCTGAGCCTCATAGGGCTGACCTTTCTGGAGAGGTCACTGTGCCAAAGTAGGAGACTAACTGTGGGAGGAGTCCAATGTAGCTTTCCCCAGGCATGCCTCCATGCTTCCAGGAGTCAAGGAACTGAGCCCGTGTTGGTGGAATGGAGGGGGCATGGGATACTGCCAACTTTGACAGGTACATTGGCCCAGGATCAACCAAGAGCTTGAATTCTAGCTGAGAGGCCTCTACTTGGTGGCTCCTATTCTCGTTTGGTTCCCTGTCCTGTCCTGTCCTGTCCTGAGTTGGACAGCAGTCATTGTCCTTTAGCTTTCCCCATGCCAGACCCACAGCAAGGTGCTGGTTTTCTTCTAAAACTCTTGCTTACCACACCTGTTTGTTATACGTCTCCAGTTGCTCCCAACTTGGCATTCAAAGCGGTCCCCAGATCACTGCTCCTGTCCTCTAAATAAGCTCTCCACCCCTTGGGCATTCCCTCTTCCCAGGCTGCACCCTTCCCTGGAGTGTTCTCTCCCTACCCTGGTCCCACCTGCCTTCTTCTCTCCTCTAGGATCATCTTGTCTGCCTGACTGCTTGGACTACGAAATGCACAGTCCTGGCTCCAGCCTCCGCTGGCTTGCCCTGACCAAACACAGGCCAACCCATGGGTGCAATTCTCTCCTTAATAAAGCATGACTCATTTACAACAGGGCTTTTGTATTTTTTATCATGAATCTTTATAGACTATAGGGGGAGCCCTTGTGAACAGTGCAAGAGGAGGCCCAAACCTCCTGCCCAGGATTTATCACCCTGCAAACCCAGGTGTCAGCATGGTGCCTAGGGAGCTGGCCACACTGGAGTCCAGCCTGCACTTTTGGAACAGGTGAGGCCACATGTGGGGAAGCACTGAGGTCAGGGAATGTAAAGGTGCCTGGGTGCACGGGGTCTGTGTGCACACTTGACCATCCATAGAGACCAAGAAGGCCCTCCATAGTTACTGCCCGATTATGGCAAAGCAGGGAATTCTAGAGAGGACTGGGAATGGTCTTATTTTATTTAAAAAATTACTTATTTGTTTTTATTTTATGTGTCTGAGTGTTATGCCTGCATGTGTATAAGTGCACGTGTGTCACACAGTGCCTGTGAAGGACAGAAGAGGGTGTCAGATCCCCTGGAACTGGAGTCACAGATGGTTGTTAGCTGCCATTTGGGTGTTGGGATTCAAACCCAGGTCTTCTACAAGAGCAACCAATGCTCTTAACTGCCGAGCCATCTCTCCAGGCCCAGGATGAGGAATGTTTTAAAGCCTGGAGTAGTCCACTAAAACGAGCATTCTCTTCGGGGAGCATTCTCTTCCAACTTGTCAGTGTTATGTGTCAGTAGAACTTGGATAAATAAAAAAAGTTCTTGTGCTGGGTGTGGTGGAGCACGCGTTTAATCCCAGCACCTGGGAGGCAGAGGCAGTGGATCTTTGTGAGTTCAAGGCCAGCCTGGTCTACATAGTGAGTTCCAGGACAGCTGGGGCTACAAGGAGACCCTGCCTCAAAAAGACAAAAAAAAAAAAAAAAAAATTCTTGTGGGGTAACACATGTCTTTAACCCCTGCACTTGGGAGGCAGAGGCAGGCAAGGTGCCTCTGAGTTTGAAGCCAGCCTGGTCTACACAGTGAGTTCCAGGCCAGCCAGGGTTACATAGCTAGACCCTATCTCAAGAAAAAGTTCTTATAGAGCAAAACAGGCGAAGGAGGCTGCTTCTGTACCTGTAGTTCCAGGACTTGGGAGGCTGAGACAGGAAGATTGCCTGAGCCCAGAAATTTGAGAGCAGCCTGGGCAACACGAGACCCCCATCTCACAAAAACATAACAGAATTTATGAAACATATATTGGTTCACAAATGCAGATGCCTTTACACCGACACTGTATTGAGTGCTGGGAGGGTGACCACTCCTGAGCCTGCAATAGGCCACTGTCCCATTGGTGCCAGTTGGAAGTTTTCATCTCAACTGCTTTCCCTGCACATCAGAGCAGTGGTTTTGAACTTTTTCAGAGACAGTTTTCTCTTTAATGAAATTATACCTAGGTCCTCAATGTGTGTAACAGAGCCAAACTGAGCTGTTTCCTTGGGCTGTTCAAATTCACTGATGAAACATAGGACCTGTTTTTGAATCCCTTGTAGCTCTTGGAGGTTTCTTGGAGGACAGTTGAAGACTCTCCAGGGGGAGACAGTGCTAGTTTGGGTGTCAGCACCAATGAAGGCCCCATGCTTTCCTGGGGTACTGGAGTCTTACCTCCAAGGCCTGGGGAGCCTGGCAGTCCTAGGGGCCCCTCTCGGCCAGGAGCTCCTGGGAATCCGTACTGTCCTGGAGGTCCGGGCAGTCCTGGCTGGCCCGAAGGTCCTGGGAAGCCCAGCTGACCCTTTAACCCAGGCATCCCAGGCATCCCTTGGCTTCCTGCAGGGATCAGATATGAGAACTGTGAGCCCACCTTCACTTGATCATTACAGACAGCATCTACCTGCTGAGACTCAGGCTATAAAAATATTAACAGGATTCACTTGTTTCAGGACTGTAGAAAGTCTGCAAAATACAAGGTAGTGTAGCATATAAAACCATAAGAATGTACAACCCATGGCTATTTCTCCACCTATTTCTTTCCTGCCTTTTCTATTGCTAAGACTAGATCAAGAAATAGAAACACAGACTTGATTCTGCACCATAAACACAATCCTAAGCTAGTTCTTTTAACTTGACATTAATGTTCAGCACTTAGCCACATTTAAACATATTCTTAGGGGCCAGAGAGATGGCTCAGTGGTTAACAGCCCTTGCTGCTCTTGCAGAGAATTCGAGTTCAGTTCCCAGCACCCACATTGGGTGGTTCACATCAGCCTGTAACTCCAGATCTAGGGGATCTGATGCCCCCTTCTGGCCTTCATGGGTACTGCATTTGTGTGCATTGGTTGCCATAACACAGGAAATAGTAAGTCTTTAAAACAATTCTTTGCAAACACTTAAATGGCTACACGAACAAAAGACCCTACCATATAGACACCTTACATGTGTTCCATGCCTCTCTCCACCATCTTGCTCTTACAAGCAGCTACGTGAGAGAGTGTGGGGGTTTGGCCATGAGCATACACCCTTGGCTGTGTTGTAGATAAGATCTTCAGAAACTGACCAAGCAGGTCAAATCAAACGGCAGTTAATTCTTACTTTTTTGCACTGATTTATTCATTCACATTAATTTACTCATCTGCCAATGCTGCATTCCCCAGCATTACACCTTGCATTAAGCAAAATCAAGACCCTAGCGGACCAGGCAGAGGAGCGGTATGCACTGTGTTTGCATGCTTCTGACTACCAGTAGCACTTCTTTAGCCCACTTTCCTTTTTGGCTTTATTCTTGATTTTTCTTCAGGAATTTTGATACTTTTCTTACCGTATTTAGTCCTCCTTATGAGGAGGGGTACTAGTAGGCTATGTTGTTGAATATATTTTAAGTTTTCTGCTCAAACTTTAATTTTGTTTTTAATATGTAGACAAGCAACATTGTTTAGAAATTTGATACATTTTTCTTGTGTGTGTGTGTGTGTGTGTGTGTACACACACATAAGTAATTTATCCTTCTGAATTTATGTTTGCCATGTCCTGCCCTACCCAGTATCTAGATACAATGAGAATATATTTCTTCTAGTTTTCTCATTAACAGTAGGCCTCTGGACTTCCTTATAAATGGGCATTTTCTCCCTCTCTTCTTGAAGTGTAAAAGGCCAGCCTGCCAAAGCCTTTTCTGTGTATTCTCTCATTGAATCCTTAACTATCCTTCCAGGTGGGTAGCGGGGAGGAGGGGCAGGGGACAGATGCAGGAGGGACCAGGTCTGTCCCCACTAGCGCAGAAGCTAAGTCAGTTGTCCTGAACTCTCCAGTCTGTGCTTCTTAACCTGCCACAGGGAGAGGTTAAGTGAGCAGGAAATGCTTTTGTAGCAGACAGCTGAAACTGAGTTGGGCATGGAGGCACAGACCTGTAACCCTAGCACTTGGAAGGGCAAGGCAGAAGGATTGTGAGTTTGAGGGCCTGCCTGGGCTACGTGGTAAGATTGTCTCAAAAATCAAATGAAGGATGAAAAGTCCAAAGGTGAGAGTCTCTGAGGAGCACAGATCTAATGCTGACATTCCCTGACACTGGGGAAATGTGGACATTTATTTTTTGAATTTCTATCTTTAGGGTGAACAGCTGGTGGCAAGATAGCTCTTGGGTAGAAAGAACCTTGCCAAAGCAGATAGGCATGGTGAGCTGAAGAGTTCTGCCAGGACTTCAGTCCACAAGAGCTTCTGCCATGAGCAAAGGTCCATCCAGTAATTTCCGTGTGGGGTAGGTCCCTCCTGATCTTTATACCAACTCCAGTTCTGCTGAGAAGGCAGCAAACCTGCACGGTGAAGGCCATGAACTAGAGCACAGAGGTCAGCCAGTACGTGCTGGTGAAAGGTCTCAGATCTATTGTCTTCAGGCCATAGAGGGTTATAACTAAAACACTCCGCAGGCATGCTGGGACTGAATCCAGCAAACTGCATTCTCTATAGTATGAGCTTCCCACCAACACCCCAGAAAGGGCTCCGCACTCACCCTGGGGGACTGCAGTGCAGGTGCCCTTCCCATCTGTCAAGTGACTCACCTCTGAATCCAGGTGGTCCCCTCTCTCCTGGGAGGCCTTTCAGACCTGGGTGTCCTGGCAGTCCAGCATCTCCCCGGGACCCAGGCTGAGCCCCTAGGACTTCTCCTGGAATCCCCCTGTCTCCAGGGGGCCCAGCTGGCCCTGGAAGTCCGACAGGGCCTGGAAGTCCATTAGGACCAGGGAGACCCGTGGCGCCCTTGGATCCTCGGGGTCCCATGAACCCTAGAAGGAAACAGAAGTGATTCCCTTAGCCACAAGTCCACATCATTACGTTCTAAGATGGTGCTGGAAAGAGGCTGGAAAGAACCAGGGTGTGGTAAGGGCTGTTTGGAAGGTGACCCTGCAGCCTGAGACCCTGCTCACTGCCCTCTGGGAACCTGTACCTCTCTGTGAAGTTAAATCCCTTTGTTTCCCTCCATTGTCAGTCCTTAGCCCTGAAACTCAGCTGAAGTGGGCCAGCTGAGGTGTATAGCTGACAGCTCCCATGGGTTGCAGATGAGATTGCTGAGTTGTAAGTAGATGTAGAATGGAGTTGTGTCATGGAAGCCCCAGGGGAGAGAGATGACCAGAGCTAACAGCACTGATATTCTGCTTCCCTGGTCAGTGCTGGATGCTTGAGGAGCAATCAGCACCACTCTCTGTGTATCTCCACAAACGTCTTCTAATCCCACATCAGGATAGAAGGAAGGTAACCATCATGAGCTTTTCTTGGTGCCACTGGGTCAACTGGACCCAGACTGCCATGCCACAACTCCATGCCTCAGTGCCCTCAGCCCAGACAGGCTTCAGAGTGAGAGCCACATGCCACAGAAAAGGAGTCATGAACAAGATGGGGTGTGCAGGTGGGAAAAAAAGAAATTTCTAGAAGGTCCAGTGAGCCTCACTGAGGACTGAAAAGCCAGGCCTGCCTGGCAACTTAAAGATGAAGTGGTGGTTCAGCTGTGTGTGGAGCCCAGCATGCAGGATCTAGACCTAATCCGATGAGTACAGGGTTCAACTTTCTCCCTCACTGATCGAAGATGTTCAGCTTTCACAGGGCTGTTAGTTAGTAATGCATGTGGACAGGATGTGTCTGGGTCGATTACCTAGAACAGGCCCTTCTGTTCTTTGAGGGTAGAACTTTCTTATCTTCTGGTGGTGATAAGTCTATTTTTGCACCATAAAAAGTGATGTGTGTTTCAAGCAGAATAACCTCGCTCTCTCCTCTAGCCTGCTCCAGACCCCGGTTCATGTCAGGGCTCCATTTCCACATGAAGCAGACTTCCTCACATTCTGTTACCTGCCTAAGCCACCAGACAGGGGCATGTCACTTGCTTGCTACCATTGTAGAGTTTAGTGTATGATCTGTGCCCATTGGCTGTGCTAATAAGTGTAAAGGTAGACCCAGAGGTGACCAGAGTTTCAGGGGCATGGAGATGATGTGGAAAGAGCAAGTGCATTTCTGGGATCAGCTCTACTCCTTCCTGACTTGTCTATGGGTGACGAGACCCCTCTCTGTGGTTTGAAGACTAATGTCTACATGTGGTCCAAGGCACAGTCCAGAGAGAAATTCCTGGGAGACAGGTTGAATTTCAAGGAGGAACTTTCAAGCAGTAGAAAAGTTTCCATGCCTCACAGGTCCCAGGTGATAAGTGATTGTGGTGATGTCTGGAATAGCTGACCAGGACACTGTGCAAGCTTGCTTTCTATTGGCTGGTGCTGTGGTATGAAAGTAAAATGTCCCTCCCAGGCTCACATGTTTGAACACTTGGTCCCCAACTGGTGGAGTTGTTTGGGAAGGTTGTGGAACCTTTAAGAGGTGGAGTCTCCCTGGAGGAAGCAGATGACCAGGAGGCCTTGAGGGCTTAATAGCCCAGTCTTATTTCCTGTTCACTCTCTGCTTCCTGACTACAGATGCACTGTGACCAGCTGGCCTCTTGCTTTTACTGCCATGCCCACCTACCGTGATGGACTATACCCACCCCCCCACCCCCCTGCCGGGAAATGCAAGCCAAAACAAACTCTTCTTTTATTAAGTTGTTTTGGTCAGCATTTTGTCACAATAACAAGGAAAGTAGCTAATACAGGTGTCACTGTCATGTAAACATTCTGAAATCTGTGTGGTCTGCAAAGTAGTGCAATCACACTTGTTCACACCATTTCTGTTACCACTGAACAGACATATGTGGCTGGTGATACTGGATTGCATCACAGAGGATCTGACACACAGGCACCTGATCCCTATTCCTTATAACCCATGCCTGGAAACACATCCATTTCTTCCTAGTCTGCAGTTCTTCTGGCCACTAAACAGCTTCCAAAATTCTTTGCCAGGTCAAAACATGGGTGAAATGATGTGAACTGACCCAGAGAACTTGGGCACTGGAGAGCCGGCAGGAAAACTATGGGAAGTTGTAGCACTGGTAAGTGACCATTAGACTGTGTGGTTAATCTTAATTGTCAGTCTATTTGGATTAAGAAAAGCCTAGGAGGGGACTGGAGAGGTGGCTCAGCGGTTAAGAACACTGACTGTTCTTGCAGAAGATCTGGGTTCGAATCCTACCACCCACATGGCAGCTAACAACTGTCCGTAACTCCAGTTCCAGGGGATCCAACAGCTTCTTCTGTCCTCTGTGGGCACTGCACGACATGGGTGCACTTACTTACATGCAGGCATAACACGCATATACATAAAAAAAAATACAATATTTTTTTTAAAAAGCCTAGGAAATTAATGAAGGACATCTTGGTGTGTCTGTGTCAGTGTTCTCTAAGATAATGAGATTAGTGAACTAATTATTGTGTTAGCCCCTTTATGGATTTATAACATGATGGCATTATTAGGGGTGGTAAAAGGTAGGAGGTGGGGCCTACCTGGGGTCACAGAGGAGTACATTCTTGGAGGTTGTATCTTGCCCTGGCCTCTTCCTGTCCTGTTCCTTCTTTCTTTGCTTCCTGGCGACCATGATGTGAACAGCTCTGTTCTGCCATGCCCACCCCACCATGATACATGGACGCCTCTGAAATTGTAAGTCCAAGTAAACCCTTCCTGCCTCAGGTTGTCCTCTCAAGTAAGCTAATCACAGTGATGCAGAAGTAACCATAAACTGAGACTCAATAGTGACAGGACGGTCTACAACTTCAGGATAATCTCAGGAGAGACAACACTAGAATGCTCAGTGTCCATTGAGGAAAATCTCCCTGTCACTTGTGCCTTGAACTTGTGAGATCTGTGGATATCTTCTGCAGAAATCCAGTACAATGTTAATGATAAAGCAAGGATGTGCTGGACGTGGTGGCGCTCGCCTTTAATCCCAGCACTTGGGAGGCAGAGGCAGGCAGATCTCTGTGAGTCTGAGGCCAGCCTGGTCTACATAGCGAGTTC